AGTTTAAAAAGCAGCATTACTACAACTTTGTAGATTCGTGATGATTTCTGCTCTGAAATAACTGTAGTCTCAACTTTTTGGTGGCACAAATTACTTTGTAGGATTAGAAAAGATACAAAAGAGAGTAACCAAAATGCTTAGTCATGGAAAAATCTCTTTAAAAGGTACATCTAAGTGGATGCAGCATCTTTGGCCTGCAAAAAGGGCAACTGAAATGATTGAAGAGATGTGATAAATTTACTAATATCATAGAAAAGGTGATATCTCTTAGAAGAAGAGATACCAAATGAAATGGTCACATGCAAAGCTTGAAGCATAGAAATGGAAATAAAATATATAGTTTTTTTATCCAACATTAGCAAAGCTTTGGAACTGAGTGCTAAAATGTGGGGGAAGCTATAATTTGATAAAGTCTGGAAGAAAAATCCATTCAAAGCTGTTGGACATAAGCATCCTTCAAGCTCAGGATGCCCCTAAGTCAGAGTTTAGGAGGGTATGGAAAGCACCATACCACAGGTGTGCCACTGTTCTCTTGTTGGCTCCACTTCTTACCATCTTCTCTCTAATTTCTGCTACTGGCCACCGATTCTTTGGTCTCAATATAGACACCCTTGTGTTTATGTTTATGAAGGTTTGGAGGGAATATCCAAATTCTGCTGTGAATGTCATGTATCTGTAAGTTAATGTAAGCAGTTGTTAGTACTGATTTTGTCTAAGGGAAGAGCTGGCAGCTATTTAGAAAGAAATCTGTCAAGACCAAAGAGTTATTTACTACATCTGGGATTGTTACATAAACCACTATAAACTACAGACTACTGTAAAACATTCTTGAAGACAACTTCAGGGATGGAGGGGATGCAGTGATTCCTGTGAAGCCCTGGTCATTCTTTTACTGTTGTAAATTCTTTTACTGCTGAGAATGAAGACACATAATTTGGGATTAAATTTGTCTAAGGGCTTCAGTACTCTCTAGGAAATAGCATATCTGAGCTGTTGATTTGGCAGACAGAATTTTCCCCTTCTGCTCCTTTCTCTAGCTTTGCATGTTTAGCTCCACTGGTAATRCTTTTCCTGTTTCTGATTTGACTCCCATGTGCTCCAGATCAACACATTGGTGATCAACTTYGATGCTGAACTTCGCCTTTTGCGGCACAAGAAAATGAAGATGGATGCGCAGATGAAAAGTGCTGATCTGTGCTGCATGACATTCTGTGAAGAGCTGCTTATCCTGAAGAAACTGGACGTACATGAGAACTTTCTTGAGGAGCAAATTTGTRCCCTCATCAATGAACAGGAGGATGTACAAGTAAGTAGGCCACATGGACCATTAATTTAGATTTAACAGTACCWTTAATTCATGGCTTGCAACAAAAGCAAACCATAAAGTAAATTATAGTATCTTTTGGCTTTGTTTTAGTGATCCAGTGACTAGTGCTAAATTTTGAAAAATAAGAAACTCTTGATGATCAACCTACTAGGATGATCACTTCTAACTTCCAGTAGTTAATTTTTTAATAATCTTAACATTTGTATTTTAATAAGTCCTTCATGATATGGCATAAGTGACTAGTCACATACCTAAAGAGCATACTCCTAGGTGATGCTTGATTGAACCATGGGTTTAAAGGGAGAAAGACCCGTTTTGCATTTCCAGGTCTTCACAGATGCATCCTATATACGTACACATGGGTTGTACATTTTAACTGAAGTAGTTTTTTGTTTGTTTAGTCAAAATTGAAGAACTACCTTGCACAGATGGAGGACAGAAAGTGTGAGATTGCAACACTTCAGGAACGTGAGAAAGCTCTTTATGCCAGCTTCCAAGCATCCCTTGGAGAAGACAATGAATTTGCTGATTTTCTGACCAACCTTTTCAACCTGGAAGTTGTGTGTGAGTGTGCAAAAAATAAGAAGTAGGAAGAGAAACGGGTTGGAAATTCTCTTCTTTTTGCTTTGTGGATTTGTTATACATATTTCTTTGTGGTCAGGTACCTGTCTTTGGAGCCCTGAGTACATGCAACACTCCAGGCAGGTCAAAACTCCATAGATCAGACCAACTCAGATTGGTTTTAGACTGACAGTGTGTTCTGTMGCAGTCATCCTGAATCATAATGGTGCAATCAAGTTTTCTAACATGACTACAGTTGTTCTGATAACAGCTCCTGCAATTTATGTCCTGTAAATCAATACTGAKGTCTGATAATTGGTAAAAGAGGAAGAGGCAAAGCTTTAAATAGGTACTTCCTATGCTGTGCCAATGGGAGCTATGGATAAGTGATTAGTCTGTCATATTTGTGACATTCTGCTCTAATCTGTCCATTGACTAATGAGAGATCATAAACCTAATCTGCAATCATCTATTAGTCACAGGACTAAACATATTTTGAAAGGATTTATTTTGTCTTMGTGACTTAGTTTTAAGCTGTTAAAGCTAGGCAGTCTTACTGAGCTAAAATACTTGTGCTCTCTCTGACTTGGCTTTTCATTTCAAGTGGRACATGATTAGCAAGAAGTTCAGACAATGATGATGCTTTTGTGACAGATTTGTTCTTCCATATTCTGCTTGGTTGATTAATCTCTGTAGCAGAATGGTAAACCCACATGGTTTAAATTCCTAGCACATATAAAGAGAAGAAATATTATTATTAAATTAAGTTCCAAAACCATGGTCAGGAGTGTTTTTGCAAGCCAGCAGCGCTGTCTGTTTCTTTCAGATGAAGAAAATAAGAATGAAGAGGAGGGTGATGATAAAGCTGACTCAAAGACTGATGAAGAAAATGGTGAACCTGAAGAATTAGTCTATGGTGATATTGTTTGCCCAGAAGGTACCTAAGGTGTTACTTCYTTGTGTTGACTAGTTGTTGAGCTTTAGGGGCAATATTATGTGTTTGAAAAGAAAACACATAAGAATTTTAAATTATTCACTGTCTGTTAAAACCATGAAGGACTGGAATGTGTGCACCCCTCATGAGTGCAGCACTTTTTCCCAGGAAACTTCAGCCAAGATAATAAAACTGCTGGTAGTGTGGACTACCCAAATTTTGTAAGTTTGGAAAAATAAGCACTAAGAATTATTTTCTATAAAGAAGCATTCACCATTTCATGGCTGTTTTCTGGAGAGAAAAGGCTTCTCTCTGGAGTGGAGCAGTGGCAAAGCTGAAGCTGCTCTCTGGTAACCTGCTGCTGAGTTCCCCTGTACAGGGAAGTTCTGAGAGATTTTACCATGCTGTTAATTGAAGCTCTTTGTTACCACCTTGTGGATTTGTGCAGCAATTGCCCGTTGCTAGGCTGCTCTGAAAAGTTAAGGGTCTGGCTTTGCAAAATCCTCACCATGCATTCAAAAAAGGCAGGCAACGTCTCCCTCCTTTTCTTTTGTACGAGTTTAGCTAATTTAGGATGTTGKTTTTTAAAAAAATCTTTGAGTGATGTGTCAATGCCTGTGTAACAGCCTTGCTTCATTTTCGAATTAGAACTCAACAACAATTCGCCCTCCCTTTTTTTTTTTTTTAAATTGGATTTTAATATCATTTCCACAAATCGATTTTTTAATTAACTCTTCATTCATCTCATTTTTCAATAGAATGTTGGGAAGAAATGAAGATTTTTGCTACTTGTTTTAAAAGTCCAAATTGCTAATTTAATAGGAAAACTACATGTTGCATTAGTCTCTTCATATTTGTCTCTTTATGTGTAATTTTATTTGCCTTTATTGGAATCTCTTTTTTRTTATTATGCCTGCTGATTTTGGCATAATTATGCACTTGTTTAGCATTACTGAAAACAAAATATTAGATAGAAATTCACAGATCTTCTTTACCATGACATAGGTTCTATGAAATACAGCTTTTTTTCCAAGTAGAGCTATAARTGATCCCTACAGCAAGTTCATCATTTATGGTGAAGGGTGCTATGGAGAAACAACTCTGTGCTCACATAATTGAAGATTTTACTGCAGCATGTGTTAAYTACTGGGCCTGCATTGCTTACAAAAGCTGATTTTTGAGCACTTGGCTTTAATGCTGGCTTTGATGCATTTAATCTGCCCTCTGGAAACAAACTGTCTTGACTCAATGTAAAGAAAAAAGAGATCCATCCAAGGCATTGACCTGGTCATGAAGGCACGTGGCCCACAGGTTTAAGTTTGAAGAAGCTCTAGGGAACCAAACCCACAGTGTTATTATGGTGAATACTGGGAATGTCCACAGCAGGAGAAGGTTCCAGTTCAGCCCAGTAACTCTAGTGCAGTCAATGAAATTGAGCTGTTCTTTGACTCCTTCTCTCTCAGACTGCAGCAGGAATCTCTTCCTGAATACCATCCAYCTCCAGCAACAGMGGATAGGCGTTGAGAAAGCTTTAGAAGAAGAGAAGAAAGTTGCTGCTGACCTCAAAAAGCATTGTAATGCCTTTGCCAAAAAGGTATTGTAGTGTTTTCTCAGYAAGTGTCAGCATGTTTAAATGTAGTGCGTGCACTTGTTTAGTGAAGGTCTAAGATTTAAAAACAAAATCCTAACTGTTTGAGAGGCCTCCATCTGGGAAGGGATATCTGTGGTAGCACAGAGGCAGGAGGCAGMTCAACATGGGTCACCTGAGAAGGGTAAATGAAGGTGGTCCAACCTTTGCTTTCATGGGGCTGGGTCCAGGCTTTAGGTCCTGTTCCTTCCCAGCTGTCCAGGCTTGTGCAGCAGCTGGAACTGGATTCCCTGAATCAGATGAAACACRTGGTGTAGCTTGGCCTATCCTCTGTGCATGTGTGTGGGGGCAGAGATTGAACAGTACTTACCCTAACACAAATCCAGGTTAAAATAAATGCATAAGAATTCTGTTCTTCCATCTGTTTATTTTGCTTTTAGTTATTTTCCTTTGCTCTTTGTCACAGGTAGTCACTGGATAAACTCTTTTGGTACAATTTTTCTGTTTAGCTTTTTTGAAGTCCTGCATTCATTAAGAAATTAGATTTGTATGAATTCAAAAGTATCTTAATTTGACGGGTTATCTGGAAGAGAGAGAGTGCTACAAAGTTACATTATGCAAGTCCTGTTTTTTTGTGTCTCAAAAATGTTCCATCAAGTGTGCTTAACTTACAACATTTTTTAGTTTTTAAAAGCTTTCCTAAGTGCCAGCTGCCACATATTTACCCTGGGGCATGACATTTGAGTCTGAATTGTTTCTTTCTCATGCAGAGTCAATAAGCATTTCCAGGCATAACACAATAAAAATTAACTTGCAGGCTCTCTATAGCTCTACAAGTGTTTTAGATGCCAAACAAAGCAGCTGTCTCTCGATACATATAGGGCTTCTCTAAGGAGACATTTTATGAGTTTACATGTGTACAGAGGTATTCAGGCTAGAATCTTGCTTGAATACATGTAGATGAGCCTTGGGTTTGCCTATGAAACTCACCTATCATATGTAATTTAAAAACCCCACATTTTTTATATACTTCTTTCTCTTTGGATCAGGAACTYTAACAGAACTTTGCTGCTTTATGTATTTTGAGTACTACAGGATTTTGTTTGTCCACAATTTGTCTTTYTGCAGGCAAAAGAAGTAGAAACCAACCTGGACACAAAAAACAAGGAACTGGAGGCCTTTCAGTGGGAAAAGCGGCGGAGACTGAATGAGCTGGATGTAGYTGTACCTTTGAAACTCCATCAGGTAATTCAAGATGTGCATCTGCACATGCAGAATAGCCTGTGTACACCTAAACAATGGTGTTTCTGTTCTTTGGGGCTCTTTGCTCCTAATTCACTATGGTCTCCTGGGAGGGAAGGCCTGTTAATTGAACTTTTTGCTGCTATTTCCTCTAGAATTCCTTTTTTTCTTTCCTTYTCTTATACTAACAGAAATGAGGTAAGKACAGGCAGGCTGGCCCATTGCTGAAATGTCCATAGTCTTCAAGTRCTTTATAGGTTTGGCATGGTATTTTCCTTCAGAACCATACCCACTGATATTCTCCTGGGGGAAAAACTCAAAATACCCCCAAAAAAATCCAAACAAAAGAAAGAGCAAAAACTATTGAAACTATTGGGAGTTCTGCCCAATTCAATAATGCCAGATTGGACACAATGCATTCTTTTACACAATTCTGTGGCCCAAAAAAAAGTCATGCCCATGCTTTCTATTATCTCACTCATTAGTTCTCTATTGCTCACTTATTTGATACAGACAGACATCTCCAGCACCCTTAATGTGTAAAATCAACCTTGTTATTTCTGGCTGCTTTTGCAGATGCAGTATTTGGTTGATGGGGAGATGCCCCGTGACTTCTCCCAGGCTTTGGTATTTACAAACCAATCCTTGGAGTACCTGAGGAAGAGAATTGTGGACCTGCGGAATGAAAGGATAATGCAGAGAGACCTCCACAGGAAGGCCCGGGAGCAACATAAGCAGCTTCTCCAGGACAAAAAGGACATGGAGGAGGAGATTCAACGTGAGTAACAGAGACTCTGAACAACACAGCATTGCTAATGATCCTTGTGTCCCCCTCAGTGGCTGTGGGTAACTCACCACATGTCTGTCTCTGTAYTTGCACAGATGCCACAGAGGGTCASAAAATAGAACATACCAAGCAGAYTATTTTGATGGAGTAGTGGTAGTTCTCCAGCACTGCWGAGTCATCAGGCTGTGTGAAATAATTCAGGAACTTAGTTTAAGTAGAGTTGACTGAGATGAGACACTGGAAGTCTGGACACATGCTTGCTATTTCTGRTTGTAAACCAGAGCTCCTAGGAAAAAAAAGTAGTTTCCCCAAAGATGTGTAAGCTTTTTCTGGCAATTTCTTGCTCTTTGTAATGTGTGAAGAAAAACACTTTCCCAAGAGCCAACCCCAAAGCTATGTCTAGCACCATGAGATGTGCAGGGGCCCAATGCAGCCTTTGGTGTGGGAGTGGCTTACTAAGACTGGCTTAGAGTATGGCTTAGTGACCACACAGGCATGACCATGGGCAAGGACAAATGGCATTACTCAGCTGTGAGCTCTGTGTGGTTTAGTGTGAATTATTTATTACAGAGCAAATACCTAAGAGCTCACACAAAAATCTGGGCTAAGGAAGAAATTTCTTATTAACCAATGAATGACAGCRCTGCCATTTGTGCCATGTCCCTCTGTTAGGACTGGAAGAGAGGTGCAATAATCTGATGATGGAGAAGTTTGGTCGGCTGGTTGATTTTGAAGCAGTTCAAGCACACTGTGTTAACATACCTGTGGAGGAGATGAAAGTGAGAATAATGCAGAAAGAATATGAGCATTTTATGGAGCTCAAACAATGGGAGGTAAGGAACAAGAAAAGGAGGAAGACACGTGATCTGTTAAGGCTTCATTTCYCTAGGGACTGAATAGTTACAGTAAAACTTTTTGTGAACATGCTTATGTTTGATTTTTTTTCACTTGTCATTAATAGACCATAATGTTCAACTCTAATTTCCCATCATCAGTCCTACCTCTGCTCCAGTTGCCAATGCACATCCTATTTTTCATGGAGGTAGTTGAGCTCTTTGTTTCACCTTCCTCAAACACATCATGTTGTGCCTAGAGAGGACTTTTTGTCCTCTCTCATACCAACTTTTTACATCTTTCTAGGAAAGAATCGTAGTCCTGCAGCATCAACTGACAAAGCTGACAAGGGAAAACACCAGCAAGCTGCACCAGATGAACAAGTTTTGCCTTGAAAAGCATCAGCTTGAAACTGAGCTGGAATCACTGACAACTGAGCAGGTGAGGCTTTTAGCCACTGCAGTACTTGCGGGTTTGGGATTGTTCAGAAATGAATAAGGGATCATCTGGCCCTCACCAGCTCTCTGGTCTCACATCCTGCTCTGCAGTCAGCAGTTTGGGCTAACAGGGGGGCAGGCTCAATGGCTGCTCCAGGTCTTGCAGAGAGGAAAAAGGTGATCCTGAAGAAGCAGAACTTYAGCATCTCCACAATTTCTTACTTAGCTGCTTTTTAAGACTGAAACAAGCTCATCTTATTTCTAAATAAAATACAACTAGCAGCAATTGAAAAAATATTCCTCTRTTACATGGAAATGTAGCAAAGCATTACAATGAAAAGTGGATATATTGCTCTGTACTATGGATTAAGTCTAAGTTAGTGAACCTTCACTCTGAGTTTCATGTAGTTCTGACTAAGGAGTGGAGAAGTCATGGAGATGTCCTGCTTCTTGGAAAGCTTCACTTTCCCCACTTGAAATAAATTTCCACTGTTCACTCTCCATCTTTTATAGGAGGCACTTCTTTTCTGTCCATACAGGCCATAGAATTTCAGGGCACTCAAGCTAAAGACATGAAAGAGAGAGCCAAGCTGGAGTCAAGGCTCATGCACACAGCTTGTGACGTGGCCTTTCTGAGACAGAGAGTCAGCTGGGGCAGAACAGATGTGTGGGAAAAGAAGAACTCATTTTCTTTAGCAGAAAAGGTGGGTGCCTCTTTCTACAACCGTTAGCACAGGACTGAGCCTCCAAACCACCCTTAAAATTAACTGTGGCAGCAGTTATGCCTGGCAGTGCAAAATTAACTAGTTTGGCTATACAGAGGTTTAGTTGTAAAGGGTTATATTTGCTTTTTCTATCAAARTATGACTGTAGCAACAGATATGGAATTTAAAAATGCAAATAAAATCACTATCTATTGTTATCAGTCYATTGCAGAKGCTTGCACTGGACAAGGTGGRCTGTGTGTGTCTGTGTGTGTGCAYTATGTCTATGTCTGCTCTTCAAACAAGTGGCTCTGGAAAGCTGGTTTGGAGTTTCACAGGGSCAAGTAAGAGCTTTGGTACCTTGTTCTCAAAAATAGTAAAAGAGGTCTGCCTTAAGTGTGCATTTATTACTGCTATGCTAACTGAACCAGAAAGAGTCAAGGGATGTGCTACTTGCCTGGAGAAAGCAAAGGGGCCTTTCTTCTCAGGGCAGGATGTGGCATTTACCTGGCAGGAGCAGGATACAGCAAYGCAAAGTCAGCCTGTAATTCCTCTGGTTTGCACCTGCCTGATCAGCAACAGAGGGCCAAGCTCTGTGTGTTTCCAGCTGTATTCTTTTTTTGCCTCTCTTTGGTGTGGTGGCAGCATGTSATCATTTCTAGCACCTGCATTGCTGTGAAACCTTCCTTCATCCCCAGGGCAGATGGGCTGTGTTACACACCTCCTCCAGTGCACACCTCCTCTGAGGTGCTAATTTTTAACTGAATGGGTTGAAAAACCTGCACCTGCTCTTGCTACTCTACCCCACTCCCCACCCTTTGCCACTGTGTCTCTGGTGTACACTGAGCCAGGCTCCAGCCATATCCCAGCCTGGCACAAGAACTTCCTGCTGGTCCCAGCACAAGTGTGTGAATGGTGCAGCCTGCTGAGGAACACACCTCAGAATGGTGCAGGRAGCTCTTGTACAGCTGCAGGTTGTGCCCTGGATGGTGGGAAGTGGCAGGAGCCCCAGCTGAGGGGTGGTGAACTGGAACCAAGCCCTTGCCTAACAAAGAGCACAGGACCTGCAGTGCCAGCTGGGCAAACAGACACCCAGAAACTCAGCTGGAGACAGGGAACAAGAAGACCCCAGACTATCACCAGTGATTATTTGGAAAACTGCAGGAAAAGTGTCACCTTTCCCCAGGTGTCCTGCTGGCTGCAAGTAAAAAAGAAAGAGAAGGCTCATTCTCTTTGAGGAACTAGCATAGAGCCAGGCACAGCAAAGACTAAAGCCTTTATTTTAGATGTTAAAGCGTGGATTTGTCTTTACAGATAGGCAGCTGCAGAGGGYGTGTATGTGAAAGATTGTTTAAGTTGATTAGGCAGAGTGCATAATTCCAGTCCATTCACAGGAGTGTGTTTCTGGAGCAAACCTTCCTGTCACGGAGAGGAAAACACCTTTTTGACAGCATTATCTTTTGTGAAGCTYTTGTTGCAAGAGGGTGCTGGATCTTGGTGGTGGCAGCTCCATTTGGACCCAAGTCCCACAATTCCTCTTGTYCAGCTGTTTCCATCGTGTGCTCTGAGGGACAGCTGGTGCCACCAAGAGCTGCTGCTGCCTTTTTTTCTGGGTCCTCCTGTGACCTTGCCAAGGATGCCTTCTGTCTCCATTGCATTATAAAAGGCACATATACATCTATATACAAGTGCATAAATATATAAATAAGAGTGTTATACAAAAATAAATACCCTTTCTCTTTTTCTCTTTAGAATAAGTCTTTTGCAAAAGGCAGCTTGGTCCCTAGCTGGTRGGAGGATGAGTCTCTAAGGGCCTCAGTGGTGGAGGGCTGCTGTTGAGATGTCTTGGTAGGTCCTGACCCAAAGATGTGTTCACTGGATTCTGGGCATGGAGATCTCTGGATTGGCAGCAATCTAGTCTTTCTACCTCTTCAACTGGCACTAGGCCTAAGCAGCAAGGGCTTCCTGGAGAGGAAAGGAGCAAGAAATTATTACAATGCACACTGGAATGAGAGATGCTRTGGGAARTTTCAAGTCAACAGTTTATGAGGARGGGTACTCTGATCAAAGAGGAAGATCTSCATTCTGAAAGTTTGTGTGGGAATTTGATGCCCTGATCACACAGAACAAGCTGGATCTGCACTGATGGATTAGGTCCTAGGGAGATGGATTCACATGAACATGAGCCATCAGCAAGGCTCTGCAGTGAGATTACCTTTCAAGATCAGCCTAAAATGATGAAATGAAGGAGGCATGGAATTTTCCAAACCACTGACCTTGATGGAAGAGGGTATCCCGTCGAGCATCCAGACTAGGGCCTCCCACTTTACTTCCCATCACTGGAYGATGGAGGCCAACAAAGTGCTCTTGAAGGTGAGGACAATCATCTTGTGGCTGAAGAAGCTGGTGAGTGGAGTCATCTGGGAGACTGTAGAGGAAAGTGCTGTCTTCTGTTCTGGAGCTGGGCAACCTGGGGAAAGAGGTTTRGTGCTGTTAACAGATCTTTCCTCCTTGAAAGATATGACCCATGTCATGTTTCAGCCAGCTCACAAATGCTGTGACACAGAACATTCCCAAATGAGGGGAAGAGCAGAAATTGGGATGTACTTGTGGGATGGGAATGAGGTGATGTGAGACCTGGTATCCATGATCCCACAACTGGTGAGTGCCACAGGAGCCAGRAGTAGTGCTTCACAAGGAGAATGGTAATAATGAAGATGTCTGAACAGTGAGATACAAAGCACCCACAACCAGACAGCCAGCAGATTTGGGTGCAGCTGTTTATCAGCATCCACCATAAATGGCTGCTTCTCTCATCCTGCTTTTCAGTYTCCCACTTAGAAACAGGAGGAGGAAAAGGGGACAGAGGGGAGTAAGTCTTGGCCACCACTACAACTGAGTACTCCCTCCCAAAATCCTAGGAGGAATGAGTTGTACAAAGAGAATTTAGAGCAAGGCAGCTTAGTGCTGGAGCATGGATTTGTTTCCCAGGAGAGCTGGGACAGATGGAAGTGWATTGAGGGCAGGCTTTTGTGAGCATGTAGTCTCAGGGGACCCAGTGGACTGTTCCACCCTCCCAYTCCACAAGCTAGGACTAACCTGGAGGGCTGGTATTCTTGCTGACAATTCCCATTCTGCAGCACTCTTGCCTGCAGCAAGGCATTGGTCTCCTCGTTTGACTGGAAGGAGAGAGAATTGTTAGCAAAGCAATGGCACACTGCAGCACTAAGAGGCTGGTGCTGACCTGTGAGTCAGAGCCCTGGGGCAGGCTGGTGAAACTTTTATAGCAGAAGGCAGACAAAGCTGAAAACTATTTCTTTTGCTACTGAGGGCAGTAGAACTGAGCACCAAAAAACTCACTTCACACTTACTGCTGAATCACTGGGGGATATGCAATTCAKTCTCAGCTCTGGTACTGCCTGAGCCTGTGACTCTTTACAGAGTTCACAGCACTGTCAGTCCCTGTGAGCTTTGCTCAGGGGAAACAGGAACTGTTCCCATAAGAATAGCCTTTTATCACTGCCTCCTCCAAACTTAGAGCCACTGGGCCAAGAAACACCCCTTTCACCAGCGCTTTGGAGACCTTCCCGTTCCCCCCATGTCTCAGACTTCACTACAAAGAGGAGATCTCTTTTGAGAAGCCARTTGTGCCACCTCTACATGCTGCCAAGTGTGCCAGCCGTGCCTGGAGAAGCCATCTCAGGGCAGCTGTGGCCTCCAGCTCAYATCAAACCAGCTCTTAATCCCAGGGGTGGACTCACCTGTGGCACTTCATCAGGGCTGTAATCTCGGGGCTTGGTGCTTGTGTACCCCACTCCTGCAGAGGGACAGACACCGTTCAGATGTGCCCTGCTGGCATAGGGCTGCCCRTTAACAAAGGGATGTCCATTGGCACGAGGAGCAGAGATGCCCCTCAGAGGCACCATGGTGTACTGGCAGGAAGACACCAGCAGCCCAGCTCCTGGGAAGCTCATGTCAATGGTTTGCTCTGCAGAGGGAAGGAAAAGGAAGTCTAAGGCAAAAATCAGAGGTGAAGTCAAGCTTGTTGAAGCTCAGTATGTATAGGGTKAGGCTGTCCTATCAGGCAACTATTCAGGCACCCAAAGCACTCTTGGAGACAAACGGTGCAAAGGGGGCCTACACAACTGCTAATGTAGTACCCCTTTACCTCTAGTCCCAGACATTCCTTTGCAAGATCAGCAGGATAAGGGGCAAACAGTGGCCTTTGTCTTTATGGGGCTCCACAAGATATCTGAGACTTACCCTCTGCCCACCCCTTCTCTGAATTCCCTCACATTTTGGGTATTTCATGCARCTACACCCAGGGTCAGATTTAATCCACAGGCAAACCATATTCTGTAAATCAGCCCTCAAGAAAGAACCCTTACTCTGCTTGGACCAGGCTCTCCAAAGGCAGAAGGGGATGAAAGCCACGATGAGCAGTACAATGGAGCCCAGCACAACGCCAACAATCAAATATGGCAAGTCACTGGAACGGGCCACCATGGCTCCTGTCCCCAGGCCACTGTGCCCACCACTGAGTGGGGGACGCTGCTGAGGGGGCACTGTGGAGGGTGGAAGACGACCTGGCAGACCAAGAGATTTCCGAGCTGTGGAAGGAACAGAGAGAGAACATTAGAGACATTGCAGATAGCACAGCAGCCCAGTCCAGGCAAATTCATGCTGCTGTGGAGTGGCCAGACTGCTGTGGTGGCTTTTAAGAATCACTCCTGGATGGCAGCATTCCTAGGCTGATGCCTACTGCAGTACAGACAAGGCCTCTATGCTTGGCTCACAGCTCTGCTAGATCCGCTCTTGGACTGCTCACACAAAAGCAAAACCAAAAGAGCTTCTCCAAAACACACACTTGGACTTATGCTGTTCCTGTCATGGCAGTGCAGCTGCTTGGAAGACAACATGGGGCCTGCTTCTAACCCACCAGGGAGTTTGGCACAGCAAGGGCAAGTCAGCCCTTCTGCTTCCAGTCACACCTATGTGATAGTTAGGAARACAAAAGGTAACTGCTACTCTGAGGGACAGTGCAAGTGCTCTGTGAGTACACAGATCACACTGATCAACAGCATGGACGACCCTCTCTTCTCCCCAGTGCTGCCTCCATCACCTCTCTGGAGCTTGGCTGACACACTGTCAGGCAGGGATGGTTCCTGCTGTGCTGTGCCTGACAGCTGCAGGCAGGGA